CATAGCAAAACGCAATCCATTCCATATGAAAAATGGAAAGGAAGGAAATCCAACTTAAAATATTTTAAAGTGTGGGGATGTTTGGCTAAAGTGCAAGTTCCTAAACCCAAAAGGGTAAAAATTGGACCAAAAACCGTTGATTGCGTTTTCGTAGGATATGCAACAAATAGTAAGGCATATCGTTTTCTGGTTCATAAATCAGAAAATCTCGACATTCATATTAATAAGGTAATTGAATCAGACAATGTTGAATTCTTTGAGAATATTTATCCTTATAAAATGGAATGTGAGTCGTCTAATGAAAAATCTAAGCGACCTCGGGAAGAAGCAAAGAAAGTACGTTTGATGAGGATAATCCAAGACATAGTAAACGTCAAAGGACAACTACTTCCTTTGGACCAGATTTTCTGGCATTCTTATTGGAAAATGAGCCTCAAACGTTCAAAGAAGCAATGTCTTCCTCGGAAGCACAATATTGGAAAGAGGCAGTTAATAGTGAGATAGAATCCATATTAAGTAATCATACTTGGCAATTGGTTGATCTTCCTCCGGGAAATAAGCCTTTGGGTTCTAAATGGATTTTCAAAAGGAAAATGAAATCTGATGGTACTATTGACAAATATAAGGCAAGATTAGTTGTTAAAGGGTTTAGACAACGAGAAGGTCTTGATTACTTTGACATATACTCGCCGGTAATAAGGATTACATCTATCTGGGTGTTAATAGCGTTAGCCGCCATGTATGGCCTTCAAACCCATCAGATGGATGTAAAGACAACCTTCTTAAATGGAGATTTAGAGGAAGAAATCTATATGGAACAACCTGAAGGGTTTGTAGTTCCCAGAAAAGAAAAGAAGGTGTGTCGACCTGTTAAGTCACTTTACGGACTAAAACAAGTACCAAAACAATGGCATGCGAAATTTGACCAAACAATGTAGTCAAATGGTTTTAAGATCAATGAGTGTGACAAATGTGTTTACATTAAGAATTCTCCAAATGAAATAGTCATTGTTGTTTATATGTGGATGATATGTTGATAATGAGTAACGACATTACTAACATAAATGCTACTAAGCGCATACTTACTAGTAAGTTTGATATGAAAGACTTAGGAGTTGCCGATTTAATTTTGGGAATTAAGATCCTAAAGACTCCTCAAGGTCTAGCTTTATCTCAATCTCATTATATTAAAATGGTTCTTGAAAAGTTCAAATATTTGGACTTTAAAGAAGCAAAAACGCCAATTGATTTAAACCATACTCTTGTAAAGAACAAAGGTCAAAGCAAATCTCAATTGGAATATGCTCGAGTGTTGGGAAGTTTGATGTATATTATGAATTGTGCACGACCTAACATAGCTTGTGCGATAAGTAAGCCTAGTCGATACACAAGTAATCCCAACCAAGCTCATTGGATAGCAATGAAACGAGTTTTGGGGTATTTGAAATATACCCAAGATTATGCATTGCATTACAATAATTCTCCCGCAGTTGTTGAGGGATATAGTGATGCAAATTGGATCACCGGATCAACCGAATTAAAATCCTTAAGTGGATACGTTTTTACCATTGGTGGAGGAGCAGTGTCTTGGAAGTCGTCCAAACAGACATGTATTGCCCGCTCTATAATGGAGTCTGAATTTATAGCTTTAGACAGGGCCGGTGAAGAAGCTGAATGGCTCCGGAATTTCTTAGAAGACATTCCATTTTGGCCCAAACCTATGGCACCTATGTGCATACATTGCGATAGTCAAGCAGCAATAGGAAGGGCTGGGAGCGTTATGTATAACGGGAAATCTCGTCACATTCGACGAAGGCTTCATACCGTTAGACAACTACTCTCTAGTGGAATTATCATAATTGACTATGTAAAGTCAAAAGATAATGTATCGGATCCGTTTACAAAAGGCCTACCTAGAGAGGCGGTTGAGATGTCATCAAATGGAATGGGACTATGGCCGAGGACAAGTCACTATGGCGGTAACTCTACCTAGAAGACTGGAGATCCCAAGATCTAGGTTCAAGGAGATCAAACAAAGTCATTAGTGACGGTTCAACATTGTCAAATAAAATTTTGGTCCATTCTCATGATGAAGACAATGTTCAGTACCAAGGATAAAGCGTTAGGACTTTTTAATAGTTTCTAAGTTTGATACAGGGTATATCAAATAGTGTATCTACGGGATAACACGTTTAGGAATCACCTATATGAGTGTGAAGTGTAAGCCGCTTCAAGGAGAATGTTGTAAGGCCAGTCCTCTATGCACTTATGAAACCAGACGGTGTTCATGGTTGAAACGAACACAACAATGAGAACCAAAGACGGTTAAGGGTTGATTGTGTGACATATGGCTGTCTAGGTATACACCAAAGTTCGACGGTTCAAAGATATCAAATCTACCGATTGATCGAGTATATCCGACATATGTTCACTACGGAAAGTTCAAAGGGAAACCTACTTATCCAGATGCAATTAATCCTTGCTTGCGAATCACACACAGTTTTTCGTACATATTTGTTTCAGATAGCCATTCCCCATTCATGTGGGTGATTGTTGGGTTTTTGTTATTAATAACAAAAGAGGTGTGAATAAAAAATGGTGGAAAAAAAATGGAGGGAAGTGAAATTTTGAATTAGTTCACTTTACTAATGCACTTTGTCCCTCATTGGAAGAAGGAAAGAAAATATTTGTGTATATATATAGAAGCTCATCTTCTAGCTCTTAAAGAGTTAAGAAGAAGTGGTGCCTCGCGCCGTCGTCGTCGTCGCTCGCTCGGCTCGGCTTCGGCTTCGGCTTCGGATTCGGCTTCTTCGGATTCGGATTCGGATTCGGATTCGGTCAATTGATATGATTGATTGGTAATTTTTTGGACCAAATTTATTTCCTTTTCCATCATTTCATATTTTCTTTTCTAATATTTTTTCGCAGAAAAAAAATATCGCGGGATCATTTTCCAACAGTCGAGTTCGCGACCAAAATTTCTGTTCAGCAGAAATTTAAATAATACCTGTTGAAGAGACACCTTATTAACGAACAAGCACCTATGCACCTGTTAAGACTTAACTTCTTTGGCTATAAATAGAGAGGCTTAGCCTCATTTTCTACCACCACCTGTTAAGACTCAACTTCTTTGGCTATAAATAGAGAGGCTTAGCCTCATTTTCCACCACCGAAAAAATTTAAAATCTTTCCCCTCAATCTTCTGCATTCTGCATTAGTTTTCAAAAGCAAAAACGTAAGCATTTTTATGTGATTTGCTTCCCATTTGAGTTTGACGAAATTCTGTGATTTGAAAGTGCCGCTATCACAGAATAGTTATTCCGTTCTATCCTGGAAGGAATTAATCCGCAACCTTGGGCATTGTAAGGGGATTAAATTCCTTAAGGACACACAAGAAATTTGTGGGCTCGGAATATTTTTTTGCTTTGGTTTTTAAAACTAACATTTGTTCATTTACTAATTTTGAATACAGTGTTTCAACAATTTTTACTATAAGTCACGAGCAAACCTTTCATTCTTATACATATGTTATTTTTTTTCTTTTTACATTGATGGAATTATACATGCACACAAATTTTTGAAGTATGTAATCATACTTTTAACACAAATTACAGTCAATAGTCAAAAGAAAATTAAAATAAAAATTTTAAAGCTCTCAAAATGAACAAACCAAGGGTTAAAGCGTGCACAAGATGATCCTAGTGTAAATGAAGAATAACACAAGGTGTGAAGTGTGCACGAGACATTCTTCACCGATTGGGTCATTAACTTTTTTTTGGGTTTCCCGCCCGGTGTCCGGTACCCGCATTGAAGCCCGACTATATCCGGATTCGCGTCGTGTAGGGCCCCATTCGGGGGGAAGCGCTCCCTACCAAGGATTTTTCCATACTCAGGGCTCGAACTCGATACCTCTGGTTAAGGGAGGAGCAGTCCCATCCACTGCACCACATCCTTTGGTGGTGGGGCATTAACCAGTGGCGGAGGCAGAATTACTGTCAAGGGGGTTCAAAAAAAGGAAAAAGTTAATAAGGTTGTTGGTAGTGGGAATAGAACTCATGACCTTACAAAGATTTTAAACCCCCTTAACCACTAAGTTATGCTTTTGTGCTCTGTGAAGGGGATTCAAAATATAATATGTAGAGGTAAAATACAGATTTTGCCATACATATATAGTGTAATTTTTCGGCGAAGGGGGTTCGGGTGAACACCCTTCCGGCCCCCTAAATCTGCCCCTGGCATTAACTTCAAGAGACGCAAGTGCAAATGTTATATCCGAATCAAAAAATAAAGTATTAAATCTGAAATCATAATGTCAAAAGCAGAAGTCGCCCCGAGACAGTAGAGTAGTTAACCGTAAAAATAGCACGGGCTAGCTAGTTTTCGAACTGGTCAATCAAAAATAGTCAGCGTTTGTAAAGTCATTGAAAAATAGATACTATTTTGGTGCAACAGGGACCGGTCCAGCATAATATACTGGAGATCGGTGCACCTGTATATGAACTTCCAGCATATTATGCTGGAACTCCAACATGTGCAAAGTTCCAGCATAATATACTGGAGATTGGAGCACCTGTATATGAACTTCAAGCATATTATACTGGACCGGTATATTATACTGGAATACCAGCATATTATACTGGACCGGTATATTATACTGGAACTCCAGTATATTATGCTGGAGTTCCAGCATAAGTCCATTATAATATGCTGGAGTTTCAATATACTTATGCTGGAACTCTAGTATAATATGCTGGAGTTCCAGTATACTTATGTTGGAACTCCAGTATAATATGCTGGAGTATTTTTCGGATTTTTAACAATATTTTTGTTCAGATTTATCTTTACATAAAAAGTGGCTAAATTTCGATTACTTTTAAAACTGTGACTATTTTTGAATGACCACTTATAAATCTGGCTATTTTTTTAATTTGTCCCTAGCTAAGCTGGTAAATGAGCCCAATTTTCAATAACTGGATAAGAAGATAATTGCACTTTAACTCCAGAAACACCCTTTTACACAAACGGATATTCTAAATAAACCGGTTCCTCTCACCTGGGTCATCTCTACAACCCGATTACCCGATAAAGCTCTGTAATGCAGCACCTCGTAATCCAAATTCCACGTTTACGTCCTCTCCCGCCGTCCACACAATGCCTCTTTCCGGCAACAATGAGTTCGTCTCCGTCGGTTTTCACGGCGAAGCCTCTCAGTCTCCGGCAATTCAACTCGCCAGAGCTAATAACCAACAGCAAGAGTGTAAAACTTCGGTTCATTAGATGTATGGCGAATCCTCGGAGAGTTAAAATGGTGGCTAAACAGATACAAAGAGAGCTCTCCGACATGTTGCTTACGGATAAGGTGTTACAATACGCTGTTCTACCTGAAGCTGCTCTTGGTGCGGATCGATACCTCTCTTCGCTTACTACTATCAGTGATGTTGAAGTTTCAACGGATTTGCAGGTTCGTCAATTTTGAATAATTGTTAATTTTAGCTTAATTTTTGCTCGAATTTGCAAAATCTTCTAATTTAGGAAGAAGGTTAGTTAATTGTGTTAATTACAGTAATTTCATTTGCGTTTCATTAACCGTATGAGAATTTTTTGAGGAAGTGTAGCCATCTGATAAGTTTTATTACACGTAAATCTCTTATAAACATTCTTGGTAAGCTGGTAAATATAGTAACTAACTAGCTATTAAAGGTTTAGTTCCAAAGATAGTGTATATATACACTATGAAATAAGGAGAAAACGGCATATGAAAGTTTTTTGTTGAAAGGAATTTGTGATAAGCTTTTTTTTTTCTTCGTCTTGAATCCTGTTTAGTTAATACCAAACTTAGATATTGTACGTTTTTCGCTTAACTGAGTCGATCTATTGGTTGAAGAGAAAGTGAAAAGCTTCATGTTTGGCTGGTTGTAACAAGCCATAGTCTTTTATCATATTGTGAAATCTATACATAAGATTTTCTTGCTCTGAGCGTAATCCTTGCAGTAACTGTGCATGTTTAACCTGTTCTTATAATATTGTTGTAATTCTGTTCCTTCCCAATTACTTGACAACTGAAGTAGACAATGTACAGCTATCTGATAGTTTATCTCAATGTACTAGGCAAGGAAGAATAAGGTAGGTGAATGATTATGTTCAATATACTAGGGATAATGGGAATTATTATCTCCGTTATGATGAGATCTTATTTGGTAGTATTTGATAGGCTTTGCTATGCCACTACATTCTGCCTCGCTGCACCACTTTTTTTTCCATCTTTGACTGGGTGCATATATAGATCTGGTTGTTTTGAAAAGGTGATCTTAATGAGTTCATTTTAATCAAACACGTAGGACTAAAATAAAGTTGGTATAGAGTTACCATATATTCCATAGCCAATAAGCATATTTGCGCCTCATATGCACTGGAACACAGACGATCACCCTCCTTCCTTTGTAGAATGTTACTACTGATATTAAGTTGTGGTTGTCTCCCACTACTGATCCTGGTATCTGGATTGACATGGATGTACTGTTTACAGATAAAATGCTTTTTCAACATTATATCAAAAACTTTCAGTTGCTGAAGATGACTTCTTCAGAACTCCTGGTTCAGTTGAGTTTGTTCAATAATTTCGAAATTTAATTAGCCTGAAGAACGTTGCCTTTAAACAGACTACACAGCATGTTAGGGATGGTCTTATGGGTTGAAACTAGAGGTGAGTGTTAAGAAACAAGAAAACATCCAAATATTGAGTAAGATAATGTATGGCATTCCTTGGCAGGACAAGGCTGTGGTTACTTTCTCCCCTAGGGTAGAATTTACTCCATTTGATTTTGAGGGTACGATTCACTGAAGAAGTGATCAAACCCATATCACCATCCACTAGCAACTTACAAGAAGATCCAATCTCAAATTTTATCTTTCTCAGATAAAGTTGTCATTTGTGCCTCTAATGTATGTGACCATGTAAAGCGATGTCTGCTGTCGCAAGCAAAAATGAGAAACTGAGAAAGAAAACTTGAAAGAGAGAGATTTTCCATTATTAAGAAATTGCATCCAACTTAGTACTAGACAACAAAGAAAATGATTCCTATCACTCCTATAAATGACAAGCTACTCTCTTCTGATCACTAGGATGATGCATGCGATTTAGCATATTCTAATTTGGAGACTCATATTGATTTCTTTGTTGATACTAATATTGTCTCCTTTTTGTCTTTTTGTCTTTTTGTTTTCTTGAGCCGAGGGTCTTTCGGAAACAGCCTCTCTATCCTTTCGGGGTAGGGGCAAGGTCTGCGTACACACTACCCTCCCCAGACCCCATTAATGGGATTTTGCTGGGTTGTTGTTGTTGTTGTTGTTGTTGTTGTTAATTTGGAGACTCAAAAAAATATTTCTGTGCTACTGTAGGTTGTAAAGGTCTATGTCTCTGTGTTTGGAGACGAAAGAGGTAAGGAAGTGGCTTTATCTGGCTTGAAGTCAAAAGCAAAATATGTAAGGAGTGAGCTAGGGAGGCGAATGAAGTTGCGACTAACTCCCGAGATTCGTTTCATTGAAGATGAGTCCCTTGAACGAGGAAGCAGAGTGAGTAATTCTAATCTATTTTCTTATTAGAAAATTGATTGGTTTTGGGGGGATCTTTATTGTTATTTATATCTCCAACAGAGTATAATGCTCTTTGAATTTTCTTTTTTCTCTCTTATTTTACAAGTCTGTTTTTGTTTCCTAGCTACTAAGCCTTTTATATTTCTCCTTCCATAATTTCTCAATATTGAGGTTAACCTTTGTTTGTGAGTTCGAGTCTCCCCAAGAGCAAGGTGGGAAGTTCTTGGAGGGAAGGATGCCGAGGGTCTATTTGGAAACAGCCTCTCTACCCCAGGGTAGGGGTAAGGTCTGCGTACACACTACCCTCCCCAGACCCCACTAAATGGGATTATACTGGGTTGTTGTTGTTGTTGTTGTTGAGGTTAACCTTCCCTTACTTAAATGATGTCCAAGTTCATTGACAACTCACCAAAACGACTTGTATCTTGAACGTATCAGATACCTGTTAAACACTTCTCAGGAATTTGTCACTAATTTAGGAAGAGTGAAGTTATTAGCCTCAACGCCTGTTTTTATTGTCAGTGATCTCTCAAATAATCCATGGCTCAAACTGTTTGTTACATTTCCAAGTTGATCCAGTAATTCTCTTGCTTAGTCAACATGACTTTTTGGTTAAGTTCTTGCTTAATCAACATTACTTTGTATACAAGAGAAAATGGCTTTTGGCACTAATACCAATTACCATAGGCTCTTTCTGAAATGATGCGGTGAATAGGCTTTGTATCTTCTTTTGCTGGCATTGGTACTGAACTTGGAGTAGATATAACTGTATGATCGATGTGCATTTTCTGGCAGATCGCTACCTTACTGTCCCTTAATGCCCTTCAGTCATACTTACTGTTGAACCAATTCTCGCAGGTACTTGCTATATTGGACAGGATTAAGGATGAGACTGAGAACAAGAATGCACCATCCGGAGCTTCCGATATCAATGACCAAAGCGATGATGATGGGGATTGGGAGGTTGACGACCCTGATGATGAAGGCATTATTTATGTGAAATAGCTCTCACTACTGCTCTCTAAAATACGCTGACTTTGGACTAGTCAAAAGATGTGTTGCATAGTGGTAAGTCTCACATGTTTGTAAAGTTAGCACATTTCTGAGTGAGCACAACATTGGGTTCCCTGAAATTTGTGTTGGTTAGGCTACATTGATTTTGCCTTTGCATTACCAGAGAATAGAAATGTTGTGCTTTTCAGCTCACATTAGCACCTGAACTGCTCTTTCCATCGCTAACGTTTACATAGATATGATTGCTATTATGTTTACAGGGTGGAGGTGTTTCCTCAGTGATGCAAAGAACATTTGTGCAGGTCCCAAATTGTGGAAACCTTATTGAACCGTGTTCAGAACTGTCTTGCTAGTTTCTTTTCTTGTTTCATGTATAATTCATGTCTGATAACACGAATCAGTTTAAGTAGTATTACTTGGCCTTTCCATGCACGAGCTCTGCCTTTGCCTCTCCATTTCAACTTAAGCAAGTTTACTAGTTGGTTTAGTCTGTTTTTTATTCTGGGGAAGAAATTGAAACAAAAAGGTAATCTATACCAATAGTAATTAGACTAGAAATTGTTGTGTAATAGTTTGTTTGGATATTTTAACTATCGAGAGCCTGGTTAAATGATTTTTTACTTTTACACGAGTGATGTGGATCCACAAATTAAAGTTCATAGGCAAACTTACACCTGCATATATTTGTGTTGAATATGTTTCCAAGTTGTATTGCTATCGTGTAGTGATAGTATATAAGGCATTACTTGGCCTTTCCACGACAGATTACATCGTGGCTGAAAACCATTATAGTATATTAAAGAAAACACAAGATAGAAGAGATCCATTTCGCATAATGATGTGTTCAATCAATATTTTACCACGGTAAATGGACCACCTTAGAAAGCTCATCAAGAAAGCAAGTCCACATATCTTCATCATTGATGGAATAACCACAAACTAAATTAACTTTTTCCCTGGATGACTTGATGTAACAAGATTATTGTGCTAGCAGATCTATGGCCAACTTTTCCCCTGTTTGTCCAATGCAGTCCTCAAAATTGGACCACTATGATACCAAATGAACCACAAAAATATCTAATAACTCTCAAACACAAAATTGAACAGTTACAAGTCGAAAATGGTGGTCCTAAGCAACAGGCCAGAATGAAAATTGATATTATATGATTGTCATATATTATTTTTATCAAACAGCAAATGCAGCATACTGCTCTCTATCAGTGATGTGCCTTAGCTTCAGCCTTCTGGTGAGACTTGGCCTTAGCCTGAAACAAATAAGATAAAGTTGGCAACAAAAGTTAGTCTATGCATAATGAAATGCAAATTAGCAAGTGTTAGAAACAAATGTAAACATCCATTGATTGAAAGAAAAGCAAATATTTACAGCTGATACAAGGAGATTCACAAAATAATTAACAAGGAAAAAAAGAAAAAATACGACCACTGTAGAAATTTGTCGAACATCTTCAAAAAGGCATTACAAATTACGCAGATAAGTGATGGGAAAGGAAAATTCCAAACACATCCCGACTCTCATTTCTCAATGTGGATGGAGGCAGGATTTCAGTGTGCTCATGAACCGTGAAAAGGTCCATCACGATGAGCAAACTGCACATTGCATCTACATTAGACAAGTCATGAATATCATTTCACAGAGAAAATGATAAACAGGATATAAGAGCTATATGCTTGGAGAGGAAGAAACTAGCTGGAATCATAACAAGACATTATGGTTCAAACAAGTGCTCACTATGGTCCTTTTGTAACAGAGTCGAACACACTCATAGAGCCCCAAGAACAGCATCCTAGACCAACAAACCGATCAGTGGGCTTTTAATGATCGTGCACCTTTCCATCCACTCTTAAACTGGACATTAGCGGAAGCACATTGTCGACATGTTCATACCTAGAGGCATAACATTCACAATATGATATACTTATCTTCCACGTTAAAGCATACGCTTATGAATTTCTGCCTGTATTTTCAGTATGTATCACCATTCTAAAGGTAATGAGAATAAAAATTTATGTATCTCCTTTCTGCTTCAGAATCCAAATTAATCTCATGGAAGTAGATCAGGTAGTCTCGAAAAAATAAAGCTGTGCCTCATAGTGCTACTTAGACATGCGGTAATTTTTGTCCATCTAACCACCTCATTGAATAATATCTGTGCCCTTCACATTGAGCTTGTTATCAAATAGATCTACCATATTAGGGCATTCTTTTATCTGGCTTAATTTTGCAATTCAGCTCCCATTTAAGATACACTTAGCACACAAAAATCTGCTAGCATCTCTAAACAATTAGATAGGGTAAATTTGACTGCTAAAGCAGAAAATTTCACAGTTTAAAGACATTGAAGAAACATATCGAATGAAGCAAACCACAGCAACAAAAAGCAAATTTTCTTTCTGATCTAAAAAATCAATATTGGGAGAGAGAAACAAATACCCTGAGATACTTGAGCTTCATGCTACCATAGACAAGTCCGAATGTGAATGCCGAGGTACGAGCCACCTGCCACCAAAACAAATAAATCAAATAATAAATCAGTCACCTAAGCATCAACCTAAATCAGTTCCGGTCTATTCGGATCTATTTCACTATAATACTCAACAATATGATTATTAAGTCAATTAAAAGCATTTCAAAATTGATGATTGATGGGTACATTAGATCGAAGCTTAGAAGGGAGAAGGAAATGGATTACCAGAGCAAGGGTGCTGGTACCAGAGTAAGGTCCGGGAAGAGGCGCCATTGTTGACTTGCAAAGTAGAGCTTCTTCAAGATCTCTTTTTAAGCCCTAGATTTTTCACAAACCCTGAAAGGCCTGAACTTACCAACGACGGTGGGCTTATATGTTGTGAGCTGTGATCTGCTATGCGCCCGCCTAGTTAAAACCTGTGTGGTTTTATTTTTTCCTTTTTTTTTTTTTTTTTTGTGGTTAAATCTTCTGATTCGGTGTATATTTCCCCTTTTAACCTTACACGAAAGGCCTCGTTTATATTTATGTGGTAACAAAAATTAATTGAATTTAGTCAAAATAGTTCTTTATAAAATTGAAATTAAGAATAGAATATTATTTAGCAACTTAATTGTTAATATTTTTTTTTATATAAGTATGTCTTGATAAATGTGCTTGCACGACCTGTGTAGACATCGAAATTTTAAAGGATCAAGCTAAATCCTAAATTCAAGATACTACAAGACTCTTGAAATCCTAGGAGTCTATCACGGTTTCTTGGAGGTTACTTTACCTAAATCCTAACGCACATATATATAAAGGGATACATATTCTCTTGAAGAGGCGGTCTAAAAAATCCCATAAATTCTCGGGATATTCACAAAGGGGTCAAGGCATAAAATAATATCGTGATCAATAGATGTTCTTCTTGATAATCAAATACTTCAAGAAGAATATCCATAGAGGTCTGTATATCCTACGTTCGAGAATACGCTGATCCAGCCCTCGAATCACGAAGAACAATTCAGAGGAAGAATCAAGGGATAAACAGAGTTGTAACCCGCAATATTTATCAACAAAATCACTTTATTCTTTTGTGGTTGCAGTTTATTTTTCGTATTTATTGCAAACAAATTGGCATGCCCGGTGGGACCAGTTCTGCCCTTCATCTCTTTCTCCTGTAAATCGAAAACTCCAAGTTTCAAAATCATTTGTTGCGATGGTCGAATACTTCAAGTCTCGTCTTCAAGTTTCGGCTAGCTTACACCCCAAGAAGTAGGGGGCATTTGTAGACATAGAAATTTTAAAGAATCAAGCTAAATTCTAAATTCAAGATACTACAAGACTCTTGAAATCCTAAGAGTCTATCAGTGTTTCTTGGAGGTTACTCTACCCTAAACCCTAACGCACACCTATATAAAAGGATACATATTCCCTTGAAGAGGCGGTCTCAAAAATCCCATAAATTCTCGGAATTTTCACAAAGGGATCTGATGATAGGCTATAATTGCATATTTTAGTCGCTTATTACACTCGAATTTACTGCACTTTAATTGAGTTTGCGCTTTAATCGCTAGTGTTTTGCACTAATTGTGTGTTTTATGCCTTGTAGGTGTGATTTCGAGCTATATAGATGTTATGGAATGAATTTAAGTGATTTGAAGCTTTGAAGTCTGAGTAAAAGCTCAAGGAATTAAGCCGGGATCGTGTTCGGGGGTCAAATTTGATAATTAAGTACGAACGAAGACTTGAGGAGGCATATTGCGCACTGTCTAGTAAAATAGACATAACATTTTGCTCAGAACTCCATTTGGGCTCCACAATATATGGTTGGAAAGTTAACTCAAAGAGCTACAACTTTCATGTTTTACGTTTTTCCAAATTCTATACGGAACAGGGTGAAAAACCTCGGTTTTGCCGCGACCGCGGCAGAACCGCGGTAGAAGATGGTCGCGGACAACTGAAGAATCAGAGGGCATGTTTGGCCGCGGTTCCACCGCGACCGCGGCAAAACCGCGGCAGGAAGCGAAAATTTCAGGGACTAAAGTGCAAAACATGGGATTTTAAGTCCTAAACCCTATATTAAACAAAGGATGCCGGCCAAGAACAAGAGGGGGACATATTTTGGACATAAATTAGACCTAAGGAGGCAGGAGACACTACTTTAGGGTTAGACAACACCCTTGGAGGCAAGAACACATTGGGAGCAAAGCGGAGAATTCTTCTACGAGTTTTTCCTTCCTCTTCCTATTTTTCATTGTTGGTTATGACTTTTAGTATTGTAGTTTTACATACTATTATGAATAGCTAATTTGTTATCTAGAGTTTTGATAGAACCTTTTGGAGGATAAATTCTTGTTATGTTTTTATGTAATTGAGCCATAGCTTTTCTCTATTTGTTCAACTACGTTTATATTGTGGTTGGTTGAAGAGCTCTCAATTAGCTGTGCCTATTTAGTATGCATAACTCGGGAGAGAGTGCATATTTAGGTAATTGTTGAACAACACCACTCCCAAAGTATATGAGGGATCAATAACCGAGGGTTTAAAGGCGGGATTAGGGATAACGAAGCCTTGGGTGCGATCTGAAGTGAGCTGTATTAAAAGCCAGCTAGCGTAGCTCGGGAGAGTGCGTCTAGTAAATTATCGTAATTACTCGGGAGAGATTTACGGTAATAAGAGTGCTCATGATCGGTAGAGAATACTTAGGCGAAACTATAGAAGACATAGCGGGAAGGATTCCGACAATAGGGGAAATCATAACTCTAGACCTCCTTAATCTTTTCTCTAACCCTCAGTATCGTTAGTTGTTAATTTACTATTTTAATTTGTTAGTTAAGTAGTTAGACACAAGAATCTTAATATCTATAAGTTAGGAATTGTTCAAGCTTGTCTTCTTGGTGATAGTGAACAGCTGTAGCTAAACCTTAGTTCTCTGTGGGATTCGACTCCGGACTTGTAAACCGGATTATATTTGCAGCGACCGCATTGTCCTTTTTATAAGGCATAGTTGGGCGTGATCAAATTTTGGCGCCGT